ATATGTTTTTATGTTACCAAGTCTGTTTGCACGGCACACACGCACATGCACACGGTCACTCAATCACATTCAATCTCATGCACTGGTGCAAGTACATACTCATCCCCCCTGCCCTCACTCTCACTCACTCACTCACTCTCTCACTCTCTCTCTCTCTCTCTCTCTCTCTCTCTCTCTCTCTCTCTCTCTCTCTCTCTCTCTCTCTCTCTCTCTCTCACACACACACACACACACACACACACACACACACACACACTCACTCACTCACTCACTCACTCACTCACTCACTCACTCACTCACTCACTCACACTCACACTCACACTCACACTCACACTCACTCACTCACACACACACACACACACACACACACACACACACACACACACACACACACACATTTTATAATCACAAAAGGTTCATTGTAACATATCTGGCTATGAAATAATAATATAGATATTTTGTAACATTCCTTTGTGCTCCGTTTTGCTATATATTTTCATTTCTTAGTTACCGATAAATCTGTTACCATTTATCTCTTTTGTGGATTTTTTTTTTTTTTTTCTTAGATTACAAAATTTATGCAATAAGAAAGACATTCATATCCTTTTGGAAAGGATATATAAAAGCTGAATGATTCTTGTTATTTGGTACCTTGTTTGCTGCTTTTTTTTGTGAAATGTTCAAACAGGGCATTTAAATACTGATATGCTTATTGAAATGTGTATATGCTGTGTGTAGCAAAGATTGTTGGTACGTAATACCTGTGTGAAAATCTCCCTTCTAGTGTGCAGTGACTTACTGTAGTGTTTACATCTACTATACTTGAGAGGATAAATGGATACTTCTTTAAAAGAAATTAATGTAAACCACTGTTTTCTGTGATATGTTGATGACTTTATAATAAACAAGTTTCACGTTATAGAGTTTTATTTGTTAGCTATGAATATCAGGTATTTTTCATATCAAATAGGAAATATTGAAAATATTTTAAAGCACTTATTTTGTGTGTCTATTTGTATATAAAGTCGAAGTTCACTGAAACCTGTGCAGTCTGCGGCGCCTTAATTCCTCTGCAGGAATATTAGAAGTACTTGTTCCTGGGGGGGAGAGGGATAAATTTTTTATTATTGCATGTTTGATACACTTAAAATTATGCTGTGAAAATCCTTTTTAAAAAAGTATCTAGACTTGCTTACTTGCAATACAGATTATAATGCAACAATAACAAATATTGACATTCAAATCTGAAGAAAACATTTTCCTTTTTAAAATAGTTGGATATAATAAAAAAGAAGAGGGGTTTAAGGTTGCAATTAGCTTTCCCTTTGTTTCCCCTTACTAATATTATGATAAAAATGAAATTACTTAAGATCATGACGACACATTAGAGGGCAAATTGAGTTTGATTTAATTTTACATTTTCACTCACTGTAACAAGGCACCCTAACTCATTCTTCAGTGCAAGTTGCCAGGTAATTACTCTCTTTATTCACTGAAAATTTTCTGCCGCACCAATATCTAAGGTCATCAGTGGCATATACAAAAATTAGCAATAGGGTGGGGCTTGGGGGCAAAGCCCCCAGGTAAGTTTTTGATCAGTAAGGCAATGTTTGTGGATTTCCAGAATAGTCAATGGTCAAAATAAAAGGTTACACAGCATTATGGTAAAGTAGTGTGGATAAAAGGGTAAATATGGGTTGACAATATGGATAAGTGGACAGAAGGGGATGAGAACAGAAGGAAAGGAAAGGAGGAGAAGAAAAGACCTTGCATAATTAGTTGAGGCAAAGGCTGAGGTCCAAGGCAGGGGTGACCCCTACATTGGGCCTCAGTCTCCGCCTCCTAGGCACCCCCCATGGCAACAACGGGCAAGAGATTGGGGGGTAGTTGCAAAGTAAGGAATGCTACTTAACACTTAAGGACACACACACACGCACTTTCTTTACTTTTGTATATAGACAGTTAACCATGTCTTTGCCATAAACTCTAGAGAGTTGCAATGATTTACTTATTTGGTTTATCTTTTCATTTCTTCAAAAGATGATCATACCCCTTTAGTTTTATCACTCTGGTGCATTCTAGACTTTGGTTGAGAAGAATTGAGATAGCTAGAGATAAGGAACATCCAACAATAAGCCTTACAATAGGAGCTAAATATTCTACGATTTTTCCTAATTTCTGTTTTATCATAATCACAGTATTTCGACATAATAAATAAGCTCATATTACATCACTTTAACTAGAAAACTTACCTCCTTCATATGGAGAAGATGGTCCTGCTTCATACTGGTCACTAGCAAAATTCCATCCATAATTCTGCCTCCCATTCTCTGTTTATTTTAAAAGTGTAAATTTCAAAGAAAAGTAGATTCTTCACACTGATAAACCTAATACTAGATTAACTATTATGCACTAGGAAACAAATCATAAAAAGGGCCTACAAGTATTTTCTAAGAACAAAACAAACAAAGCATTATCAGTGCTTTAAGTCTTTGCACTAAATCAACCAGCTTTAGGGTCTACGATATAACTTTGCAACAGTTTATTAAAACTGATAACATAAAACATAATCTGATGGTATCCACTTACCATAATTTTGTTCCGGACCAACTGTTCCGTGCATATAAGTATAGGATGGGCCAAATGATCTGTGGCTTCTATCATATGAATATGGTCCTGTGATGGTCGCATGTATCATCTCAACGAGTGCTCTCAGTGGGCCCCATATATATGCAAGTCCAACTAAAATACCTGTCAAAATATATAAGGAAATTAACTTTTGTTTTTATAAAAGTGGAAAATAATACTTACGTTAACAGATAGTAGAGATGCACATACAGAATACATACCTTCTCTGGTTTACCTCTTCTGCTACACTAACCTAAACAACCTACTATACATGTGTATCTAAGTGACAATGTCAAAATACATAAAACCCATATTATGACACCACTGACACATGATGCCATTTCTCCTTCAATATTTGCTATGGGGAAAGTAACTATGAAAGAGGAAAAAATAGAATTGCACCAGTATCTGTTTTAAGAAAAACACCAAACGTTGGGAAAAGATTTTCTACATAAGGGACGTAATCATATGATTTAAAATCTAAAGTCTAAAAAATATATAAAATCTGATGAAATTTTTTACGAACCTGCAAGGTGACCAAGGAAAGAGGCCCGAGGGACAAGAACATGAATAATCACTAGTTCTATCCACACAGCATACTTGGCTGGCACTGACATCCCGTGGATGTAACGATGAGATCCTCCTTCAAGGTGAGTCGTCAGGACTTTCAGTGCAAACAACACACCTGGAAAAAACAACAGTAAAGTTTGTGTAGGAATCATTTATAGTTCTCTCATGTTTAAAATTCTATAAATTTATTCTTGAGTTTTTCTCAAAAACTTCAAGAGACAGCTGAGCATATGCTAGAATGTTAAGCAAGATACATGATGTACTTTTTATCTAGTTCAAAAAATGAAAAGAAATCCTGTTTGGATTAATAAACTGATGTAAAACTGTTTAATCAAAATACATATTTATTTCAATAAAAAAAAATTACCCAGCCAATCAGCAATCATCAAAAGCAGTATGCTTGAAAATACTCAAACAACTCTGGGATTAAAATCTTTGGCATATATGCATTGTATATATGTAAATGTATATGTATATATGTGTGTGTGTGTGTGTGTGTGTGTGTGTGTGTGTGTGTGTGTGTGTGTGTGTGTGTGTGTGTGTGTGTGTGTGTGTGTGTGTGTGTGTGTGTGTACATATATACATATATACATATATACATATATACATATATACATATACATATACATATACATATACATATACATATACATATACATATACATATACATATACATATACATATACATATACATATACATATACATATACATATACATGCATATGTATGTGTGTATGTACATGTAAATGCTCAATTTCTGTCTGAGTACTTTCATGGATACTGCTTCAGATTCAGACTTACCAGAAAATCCTATCGCACACTGCTTCATATAAGAGTAGCTCTCCAAGACTTCGGTGGCTCCCCAAGCCAGTCCAACATATGTTAGACTAGTTGCCAATGTAAATACTACAACAAGAATTGCAAATTTCACTGAGCCAAAACTGGAAAATTGAGATAAAAATAGACCATCAAGAAGGGGAATGGTCTTGGTCATAAAAATAAAAGTTAGAATTTTAAAGAATTCTACCAACATTAGTTTTGTGAGTTTTGTGATGTTAGTAACTTTTGTAAAAATCTTTCATATATTTTTTTAAGACTACCCTTTCATTTGTGTTATTTTGCAGTCAGTACAACTCAACTTATGTACATTATTTTTTTCACATCTCCTTAAGAATAGGAAATGCACAGCAAATGAAAGTAAAATATAAGAAGTTGTGAATGAAGAAGAAAGTAGAACAAAAATATCACTGAATCAAAGATGAAAAATTAGAAAGAGACTTATATAAATTAAAAACATTATATATACACATATAAGCAGCTACAACAAAGAGACATTACTATATACAAAAATCTTCAATTCACAACATGCCAAAAATATACATACAGTTTCTCTAGTGTTCTGCCTTTAAGAACCAGTGAAATCATGTTGTGATACAGATGCATATCATCCGAATGTTCAATTGCTGAGAGTACTAATCGCCAATAGTCCTTGTAATACAGGATATGCTCAGCACTTAGACAGACATCATATCTGTTCCAAGGTGGATCAATGATACCCAGGAAAAGTAGACACTAGAAGGGAGAAAAATTGGGTTTCATGTTTTTTTCTACTATCTTCCATTCATTCCATGTTATTCTAAAAGTATCTTGAATTTTTTTTTTATTCAACAGAACCTTCTTAGAGCTAATAAAAAATCAAATCTTACTGACCTTGACTATCAATATAAAAGTCTCATAATGCATACCTAAAATCTGCAAATTTAAAACTTCTTACCTGTCCAATTAGCAAAGCAAGAGTAAC